GTGGCGCAGCGGGCGCCGTGGCCGAGACCGGTCAGGGCCGGGGTCGGAGCGTTTCAGTTGGGGGCCGACGGTGGGGTCTGCGGGGTTGACCAGCTACTCAGAAAGGGACGGGCACAGCTCTGCTCCGGAAACGCCGCCCGCGGACGCCGCGGTTTGAGTTCCGTGCGGTTTGCACGTGTCGCCAGGCGTCCGTTACTCTCTAGATCCCCTCGGTCGTGTGAAAATGTGAAAGCCGTTCTCAGCTCCCGGGCCCAGGCTGGCGACCGCTGTTCCAAATTGTTGTTCGGAGTCCCCGTGTGAGGACCAGGGCAGTTTCCTGGGCCGGGCGCCCAGTCCCCGTGGCGGGTGTCCTCGGTGCTGACGACGGACCGTGGGCGCCTGAGCGCTCGTGATGCCCGTGTGGCCCGAGAGAGACCTGAGAATGTCCCGACCAGATGCCCGCTGGAGGGAGCGTAGAGGGCCCGTCCCGCCCCCGTCGCCCGCCTGCCCCGCCTAACCTGCCGTCCCGCTCCCTTGCGTTTCAGAGGAGGTGGAGGAGTGGAAGGTCATCTGCGGGAAGTTCCTGGCCATCAACGCCACCAACATGTCCTGTGCTTGTCCCCGGAGCCCCCGCGGCCTGTCCCCGGCCGCCCACCTGGGAGACGGGTCTTCCGACCTGATTGTCATCCGGAAGTGCTCCCGGTTCAACTTCCTGCGGTTCCTCCTGCGGCACACCAACCAGTGGGACCAGGTGGGTGGGGCGCCGGGCGCCCGGAAAGAGCGGATTTGTTTGCTCGAGTTTCACCCCTTTTACACTCTCAGTCACAGTTACTCCTGGTACAACCTCATTTAAAAATAGAAACTACAGGAACGAGGAGACGGGTGCGCGTGTCATGCTGTCTTTCTCTTCCTGTTTGCTTTTATTATTATTTTTTAATATGTCTTTATTGATTTCAGAGAGAGGAAGGGAGAGGGGGAGAGAGAAAGAGAAACATCAGTGATGAGAGAGTCACTGATCGGCTGCCTCCTGCACGCCCCCGACTGGGGTTCGAGCCCGCAACCCGGGCCTGTGCCCTGACCGGGAATCGAACCCCGATCGCCTGGGTCCTAGGTCGACGCTCAACCGCTGAGCCACGCCGGCCGGGCTCTCTTCCTGTTTGAACAGAACAAAGGACACTGACATCCTGTGTGGCCCCTGCAGGTCGCTCACAGTAAACCCTCCCGCAGTCCCACCCTGGGCCCCGCCGTCCCTGCAGTTAGGGCAGGGAGACCCCGAGCCCGACACTTTGCAGAGAGCTGGGGGTCAGTCTCTGATTTTAGTGAAATTTGGGTTTGTTTTTCTTTAAAAAAATTCAACTGTACTAGTAAAAATGCCCCTGCCACAGCATGTGCGCGCGTGGTAGGGATTTCTCCCGGTGACTGGCCGCAGGGAGCCTGCCGGAATTCACAAGCGGCCGTCCCGGCGGGCGAGCTGGGTTTCCAGGGCTTTTCAGGGCTTAGCCGGGTGCCCGGGAAGGCAGGTCCCGGACCTCTGTCCACCTCACGCCGGCCAGTGAGCCGGACAGCCCGGCCCAGAGCACTGCCCAGGGACCGCGTCCTCGAGGGCAGGGTGTCCCCGCCCCGCCCTGCACAGTAACGTAGGGCCCCCGCCCCCTCTCGCTAGTTCGACTTCACTTTCGTGGAAGTCCATCGCATCAGGAAGTTCCAGTTTGTGTCGAAGCGCGTGGAAGACGAGGACAGTGACCTCGGCGAGCAGGGGAAGGACGGGCCGCCCCAGACCTGCAGCCACCCCCCCTCCTGCTGCTGCACCGTCTCCAACAGCAGCTGGAACTGCGACGGGGAGGTTCTCAGCAGCTCCGCCGTGGAGGTCAGGTGGGTGAGGCGGCCCTCGTCCCCGCCGCGTCGTGATGGCCAGGGTGCACCCGTGGGTGCTCGCGGGGCTGCGAGCTCAGCCTCCCGCCGCTCAGAGCCTCAGGCAGGAGAGCGCGGCCGGGGCGCCTGTGTTTCCGCGTGTTCCACACCCGTGGGGAGCCGTTGCCTTCACTTGGGGAACATGCCGGGGGTTGATCACGGACACAGGCCTTGGACGCCCCTTGATTTCAGTCCCTNTCTCTTCCTGTTTGAACAGAACAAAGGACACTGACATCCTGTGTGGCCCCTGCAGGTCGCTCACAGTAAACCCTCCCGCAGTCCCACCCTGGGCCCCGCCGTCCCTGCAGTTAGGGCAGGGAGACCCCGAGCCCGACACTTTGCAGAGAGCTGGGGGTCAGTCTCTGATTTTAGTGAAATTTGGGTTTGTTTTTCTTTAAAAAAATTCAACTGTACTAGTAAAAATGCCCCTGCCACAGCATGTGCGCGCGTGGTAGGGATTTCTCCCGGTGACTGGCCGCAGGGAGCCTGCCGGAATTCACAAGCGGCCGTCCCGGCGGGCGAGCTGGGTTTCCAGGGCTTTTCAGGGCTTAGCCGGGTGCCCGGGAAGGCAGGTCCCGGACCTCTGTCCACCTCACGCCGGCCAGTGAGCCGGACAGCCCGGCCCAGAGCACTGCCCAGGGACCGCGTCCTCGAGGGCAGGGTGTCCCCGCCCCGCCCTGCACAGTAACGTAGGGCCCCCGCCCCCTCTCGCTAGTTCGACTTCACTTTCGTGGAAGTCCATCGCATCAGGAAGTTCCAGTTTGTGTCGAAGCGCGTGGAAGACGAGGACAGTGACCTCGGCGAGCAGGGGAAGGACGGGCCGCCCCAGACCTGCAGCCACCCCCCCTCCTGCTGCTGCACCGTCTCCAACAGCAGCTGGAACTGCGACGGGGAGGTTCTCAGCAGCTCCGCCGTGGAGGTCAGGTGGGTGAGGCGGCCCTCGTCCCCGCCGCGTCGTGATGGCCAGGGTGCACCCGTGGGTGCTCGCGGGGCTGCGAGCTCAGCCTCCCGCCGCTCAGAGCCTCAGGCAGGAGAGCGCGGCCGGGGCGCCTGTGTTTCCGCGTGTTCCACACCCGTGGGGAGCCGTTGCCTTCACTTGGGGAACATGCCGGGGGTTGATCACGGACACAGGCCTTGGACGCCCCTTGATTTCAGTCCCTCCCTGCACCCTGCGCACCGGCACCCGCCTCGGTCTCCTCGCCTGGCGGCGTCTCTCCTGATTCCGCGCAGGGCTTTCGCTGGCGCTTTCACGGCCTGGGCTCACTGCATCCAGCAGGAGGCGCTCCGGCCTCGAGCGACCCAGCCCGGTGCTGGGGTTCAGCCTGGTGGGGTTCAGGCTGGAGGCCTGGGGCGGGAGGCGGGGCTTCCCCAGCCCGCTGGGGCCGTGGCATTTGGCATTAGAAAGCTGTAACTGTCACAGAGAGTGCGTGTGTGCTGCGTCCCACGTGACCCGGTGAGACGTGAAGGCAGAGGTGTCCTTCCCACGGGAAGACACAACATAAGGAGGTGTTTCCCCCCCTTAAAGGCTATTGAGGTGTGGGTGTAAAACTCATACGAGATTCGGGGGGAACTGACTGCGAAGGTCTGTAAGACCTCGGTCTACCCTGAGGGAACCAAGCCGGACACCCGATGGTGACAATGTGGGTCACGTGAGACAGGCAGTGAGCAGATCGATGCCCACACACACCCACCGTGCGGAAAGGAGGGTGGCAGGTGTCCCCTTCGAGGTTTCCAGTTACGGATTTAAGGGAACACGTGTGTCCTGTTTGTAATTCACCACTTTACGTGGCTTTCCTGCCAGCCAGCTGCTGGGTCCGGGTGCAGCCTCAGGGCTTCCGCCACCAGCGTCCAGACAAGGCTGCGGACAGGGGCGACTCCGTCATCTCACCCAGCCCCAGTCCACGTGCTCCCCGTCCGTGGCTGGACGCGCTCGGCGTGGCAGTGGCTGCCCAGCTCACGTCTGCCCACGAGAGGCGGCCACGAGGCCCCAGGAAAACCCGCCGAGCTGGTCCTATGCGCAGGGATAATTTGTAATATCTTACAACTTATGGAAATGGAATTCTTCTAAATGCCGGCTTCTGAGTTTACTAGAGAAATCGGTTCCTTCGAGAGTTAGGAAAGGTGTCCTTTTATGAAATGTCCCCTGTATGTCATGATAAGTGTGACCTGAGCCGGAGGCACTTAGTGGTGGGTTCATCACTGACCGTTGCAGAGGAGGTTCAGGTCCCGGAGCTCGGCGTGGGAGGCGGGGCCTCCAGGGGACCGCGGCCGCCCCTCAGACCCCAAGCTCCACCTGCCGGGTGCCCGCTGTCCTCCGTGACACCATTGCCTGTGCACCCCTCATACGCGCAGGGGGGCCTGTGTGGACTCCTCCCCGGGGCCCTGCGAGCTGACGACACCCAGGCAGGGGTGGTGGGCACCTGCAGTCACACTGCTGGTGAGGGGGGTGCGGTCTTCTGACCCCCAGGTTTCCCCGTGGCTGTTGGCTGCCCTTGTTTACGAAGCAGGTCTCGGGAGTGTAAGGACGTCCCTGTGCTCCTCGCACCGTCACTCCAGGGCTGGGCCCAGGGTCCGCCAGGACGGGACCACCGTCGGCGGTGAATGCAGCCCCACCCCCGGGGCCAGCGGTCGGGACACACAGAGTTTCAACGTGGCCCTTTTCTCTGCAGGGTCCACTGCCAGCTGGTCCAGCTCTTCGCACGAGGCATCGAGGAAAGTCCCTGAGCCAGGACCACGCGGCCGAGACACCGTCTCCAATCGCCCTCCTTCTCTCTGTGCTTGGAAGTGTGAAAACTAAGAAAATACTACAAACCANGTCGCACCGGCCCAGGGTCCACCAGGACGGGACCACCGTCGGCGGTGAATGCAGCCCCACCCCCGGGGCCAGCGGTCGGGACACACAGAGTTTCAACGTGGCCCTTTTCTCTGCAGGGTCCACTGCCAGCTGGTCCAGCTCTTCGCACGAGGCATCGAGGAAAGTCCCTGAGCCAGGACCACGCGGCCGAGACACCGTCTCCAATCGCCCGCCTTCTCTCTGTGCTTGGAAGTGTGAAAACTAAGAAAATACTACAAACCAATTATGTGGATACATACATTTAAATTTAGAAATTTATTTTTGATAGTTAAATCTTGGTTTTAGAAAAAAAATACCTTTTGTCGATAGTTTTGTGAACGCACTGGGCATGTTCCGTTCCCTGCGGACCTTCGGGTTGCGTTTCACCTCCTACCCTCGGCGGACGGCAGCTGTTGATTTGGGGCGCCGGCTCCTTCGGTTTTACAACGCGGACAGCGCCGGTTTCAGAACGGCCAGCGAGAGGCCCTGGGGCAGTAATTCACGGACAGTGTGGCAGGGGAGCCCTCCGTGGACGTCCTGCCTTCCAGACTTGAGGTACCTGCCGGTCGCTGACCGGCTTCGAAGGACTTGTCGGCAGCCATTCGTGGTCAAGATCCGGAAAGTCGTGGGTTCTCTGCCCCCGTTTCACCTTCATCTGAGCTTGTCGTTAAGGTGCAGTTCCTGGGTCCTCTCTGCTGTGCACAGAGCCAGGCCCCTTAGAGAGACGGCAGGAAGGGTAGTGACTCTGGCTACAGCCTCGGCCTGCCCGTCGTCGGAGCGCCCGAGGCGACCCAGCCCCGGGCAGCCCCGGGCAGCGGTCAGGCGCTGGCAGGTGTCATACTGTTTAAGGTTAGAGACCGTCGATGCCATAGCCACACACAGCGCGTGGCGGACGGTGCTGGGGGGCGGACAGAGCACCACGCGGTCGGTAGGACGCTCACTTTGTGAAGGGGTAACTCCAACTCCCGCCGTGGGGGGCGGGGGCTCCACATTCCAGGGCCCGCTCAGTGCACAGGGTCCGGACTGGTTCTCGTCTCATCTTCCCGTTTATTCCGACATATTTATTGACAGTTTTATCCTTTGGAACCAGAGTAGTCATTAGGCGTCTTCGTTGTTGGTGCTTGAGTTTGCTGCAGCTGCAGCCCTGGACTGACCCCCCAGGCCCCCCACGTCCTGGGCCCTGCCTGCGCCACGGCCTGCGGTTTGCCCTGGGCTTGGGGACGGCGCAGGGGCCCGTAAACCGGCTCTGCCTGATGGGCAGGAAGGTGTGTGGAGCTTTGGTTTGGCACAGGGAGTGCTGGGCTGTCCCGAGGCCGCTGACCGCTGTCCCAGCATCAAGCCCGGTGCTCGCTTCAGGCTCGGCTGGTCATTCCTGCGTGCGACAGACGCTCACCTTTCCAGTCCATGTGCAGAGATTTGTATGTCGACTTACCTGTGAAGCCCCGTTTTCTCATCCGGCCCACCCGGGTCGGGCAGAGCAGCAGCTGTAACAGTGTTTCTGTCTGGTTTTTTGTTTTTTTTTTAATAGACCACATTAAGGAAATCGTGCGAGTCCAGTGGTCTCGTGGCTGGTGGGTGGAGGTCTGGGTGTAAAGAAGTGAGGACACCCTGGCCGTTTCTGTCCTCAGTGTTTGCTCCTGGGTCGGAAGAAACCAAAGACTGGGACTGGCAGCTCCGTGCAGGGCAGTGGCTGCACCCACAGGGCCCAGGGCCCCGGGCCCGATGGTGAAGCGCTCCCGAGGGTGCCCCCGGCTGCACCCCCTGGCCGGGCCACCACGCCTCGACCGCCCCACTCGCAGGGCCTTCCTGAGCTGCCGGCCGTCTTCACAGTCTGTGGTCAACATTCCCCGTACCCCGGTCGGCCCTGAAATCCACCACGGAGTCTAGAAAAATGGCCCAGGCCAGAGAGGGAGCGTCTCATGCTCAACGAGAAACCCAGCCGCGCCACGTGGCTCCCAGAGGCCTCGGCGGCATTGCCGACCGTGTGCCGAACTGTGGGCAAAACTGGAGACCCTGGAACTTTTGGGGGGGGAGGGTGACTGAACACGCCCCGGTCAGCTGTCACAGGACATCCCCACGCCGGAGCTCTCGCCTCCATGAAGACTCCAGACGGAGCAACCACAACCCCGACACTTTGGGATTTTTAAGAAGAAAAAACCCCAAAAACCAAAAACAGAACTGATGGTCGAGGGTGACGGCGGGAGCATTTCGAGGGCTGGTCCGCGCCTGCTGCCTCTGTGCTCACGGGTGCAGAGCAGCGGGCACCTGCCCCGACGGGCCCCGGGACGTCCTGCACTCTGTGTGACCGGGACTTGTGGCCGGAAGGGGCGGCCTAATTAATGTAGTCTCTAGTCTTGCTGGTTTCAAGATTAGAAAATGGCCATCTGCTCTGACACGTTTGAGACAAAAATAAAGTCACTTTGGGCAGAACGTGGCTGTTATAAACGGAAAGGACGTATGGTGANATAAGCGGAAAGGACGTATGGTGAGAACCCCGATTCTAGGGCAAACGCATTTTTAGTACCTTCGTATCCCCCCTTGTTCCCATCTGTCCCCGTGTCCCCCAGACTCCCCCCTTCCTGGGGTGACCCCTCTGACCTGCAGCCAGAGTGATGGATCCTGCTGGGGTCCCGCGAGGGCTCCGTGCCCCCAAGAATAAAGACCCAAGCACGACGGGGGGCCCCAGGGTGCCTGCTTTTGTTCTCTGGACCCGCCGGGAAAAGCCAAGAGGTGCCCTCTCAGAGCGCAGAGGTGCCTGGAGTCACGATGGGGTCGCGTCCCGGCAAACGCAGCGTCGGCCGAAAAGGCCGTTGACGCACCTGACGCCGGCCCGCAGCTCAGCGCCGCCCGCTGCAGGCCCGCAGGCCATTAGCAACGTTGGGCAACGCGGGGCTGCCCCTCCGGGCGTCACAGCGGCTCCCGGGCCTGGGGAAAGCTCAGCGTCCAGGTTCTGACTTAGGTTTCTGTTGAATACGTGTGGCTTTTACACCACCCAAATGTCAAAAACCATAAACCATCGAAAGCCCGGCCGGCCCGTGCTGCCGTTGGGCACAGATTACAGCACACCGGGCTGTGGTCGTCGGAGCATTTTTTATTTTTTAAAAGTCTATTTTAATTAATTTCAGAGAGAGGAAGGGAGAGGGGGAGAGAGAAACATCAATGATGAGAGTCATGGATCAGCTGCCTCCTGCACGCCCTCGACTGGGGATCGAGCCCGCAACCCGGGCATGTGCCCTGACCGGGAATCGAACCGCGATCTCCTGGATCCTAGGTCGATGCTCAACCGCTGAGCCACGCCAGCCGGGCTCATCAGAGCATTTTGAACAGTGGTCAGGCTCACGTGTGCTGCTTTACGGGTGGAACAAGTGCCTAGACGGGAAACAGGCCAGCTGGGGCTCCCGCTGCTGTGGAGCCCGGATCCCTCCTCGCCCAGGGTTCCCTTCGGGGAGGGCGTCCTCCGTGTGAGGAGGGTCTGCGTCCACTGCCGACCAGTGACCAAGTGGAGGGACCGACGTCGGGGAGGAGTAGTGAGGGACCTGCTGCCCAGAGGGGCCTCGGGGTGAGCGGGAGCTGCGGGGCTGGGGGTCAGGAAGTTTAATTTTGCTAGAAAATCAGGTGTCTTGTCAGGAGAGTCACCCAGGGGAGGGGGCAGGTGCTCCTGAGGATGTTCACCGTGTGCCAGGTTCCCTAGGGACTGCTGTCTGGTCATAGCTTCGTCCCAGCCCCAGGACAGCACCCACGACCGATGGACAGAGGACACAGGCTCACCCCCGAGGTGGACTAGTCCGCAGGACCTGGCTTCCCCGGCCCAGGCTCATGCCCTGAGCGACCTTGGCAGGCGTCTGCCTCCTGGGGCTCAGGGTGCAGGAGGCTGGGCGCCCGTGAGTGCGCCTAGCACGTGTGTTTCAGTGCCGGGCCGGTTCCTGCGTCCCTGTGTCCTGTATTGGCCTCAGGACCGGCTGAGTCCTGAGTGCCACTGGGGCCCACTCTGCCCAGGGCCCCCAAAGGCTCCCCCCTTCAGCCACAGACCTTGGGGAGAGGGCCCCAGAGATGTCCATGGGCCTCCAGGGAAGGTCCCTCTGGGTGGGGCCAGGACCTGCACCCCAAACTCAGTGCACTGTGCCGAGTCTCCCCGTTTCAGAGCTCCCTATACACCCTCACTGGGTGATGGCACTGCTCCCTGCCGCCACCTAGTGCCAGGCTGGGGATGCCCCTCCCGGTGAGGGGCATCGGCCTCCTGCTTCTTCCAGAACCTGGCCCCAGCCTCTTGCTATACAGGGCGCGAACCACAGCCCACTGCCCCCTCAGCCCACCCC